GGGGACTTCAAGGGGGAGGGGGGGGGTAACTGCCGCCTCAGTTGTTCTCAATAATTTGTTCGAGGAGCCCTGAGGAGAGCTGTCATTGAGACAATGCGATTTAGAGACATCACCTTAGACAACTTTAGGATCTAGGAACACGCTTCATCCCTAGCAGCCCAGTGATGCTTCGATGCTCTAGAGTCTCAAAATCCTTCACTGCTCCCCTACCCCCCTCCGCTAAACACCTGTGGGCTACACGTCATTGTTGGGCCTCTTTAGGGGCCACTTCTTGCAATAGAAGCATGCACATTTGCATTACCTATTGCTTGGACACACTGCATAATCAGATATGGCCGTCAAGGCAGCAGTTCGTCTTACCCAGGCCTTTTGGGAAATTCAGCGATTATTTTTCTATAATAGTGTTATTATTTTTTACGATTGGAGCTTCCATTTTCTGTCAGGTCATGATCATGGGAAATTTGCACCCGTAATGTCATTAGCCAGATCTCGTGAGGTGAGCATTGTTCTTTATACTAAAGTTTCAGCAACATATTTTATCTACTTCGGTAGGTGACTGGCAGACTATGAAATTTTATTTAAAAAAACTGGCCCATCGAACATCAGGCTACAACGAAACATTTATCTCGTTGCTAAAACATTAGCAAGTCACTGATTTCTATGTCAGTCAAAAGATATCGAAGTAATATTAGAGCACCGAAATCACAGCTGTTCTTCAGTCATTTTGAGAAATGAAGCGTCGTGTAGTTTGTCGTTACATCCCAGGAATTTGTCAAAGAGGTCCGTGGAAAAAATGTAGTGATGGCTTGAGAGTCTGAAAAAGTATCAGAAGAAACAAGATCTTTTGCATGTGAGCTTATAGCTTTTTATGACACAATCTGGAATAGAAACTGCGACTGCTGATGCGAGTACCTTACAAGACGAGTTTCCTGAAAAATTCAAAAGGAGGAAGATGAAGCTATGGGAGAAGATGAGTTCCATTCCATGCTGTGGTCCATGAGCTGAACAAAGAACAACAACGGGTAAAGAAACAGCGTATGCATGGCAGGATTCTGAAGCGGTAGGGGGATCAGTGAGTGAAGTATGAATTTCACAGCAGACAGTGAAAAAGAAATGAAACCAAGCAGCGACTACAGCAGACAGTGAAAAAGAAATGAAACCAAGCAGCGACTGGGTAACTCACTGACCAAATGGATCTACCTTTTATGCCAGAGAAGTGTACAGGAAGGACAGAACCACAGCAACCGTGTCTCTAAACGACCCTCTACCAGTGGAAAAGGAATATATCAAAGAAAACAAGAGAACAGAAAAAAAACATCGCAATCGTGTAATAAACGATACACGTGGAATTACTCACTCCTCTCCGCTTTCCCACCACACCACACCTGAAAAAATAATCAAACTTGGGAAATGCAAGCACTGTAACAACTCCTCTGAAAGAAACAGTTCGATAAGAAAGAAAGGATAGGTGAAAAATACAATAATGCTTTCTCAGAAGAGACTTCGAGAATACATAATAAACGAAAACAACGGAGAAGGAATCCAAAAAAAACCAGAGGACAAAAGCGAAACAGTGCAAGAAAAAATAAAACCTCGAAAATACAAGAACGAAATGGACGGATACTAGGCGGACGTACGAATACAAATCGCCGTGCACATAGCGAGGAAGCTACACGCTTCTTCTTTCCGTGGACGCTCCTCGGCGACAGGCTAGGCTTAGTGGAGTCCTGATCATTCCCCCGAAATGTCACATCCATTCAGAACCACTAGATGCCAGCTTTCTAGATGTGATTCGACCCATGGAACGACTTGCTAGGGCTAGTCAATGTAAACGTCAATGCTTTCCTTCTCCCCGACACGTCTGGCGCCAAATTACTGTCTTGAAGACGAAAGAGTTACCTGACCTGGACCAAGTTCAATCCAAATTTGACTTGCGGTCCGCTCGAAACACTTGCCAGTGCACCCGTGCCAAATTCTTGTGCAGAAAAAATGTATGTTCACATACTTTGCTTCCACGAAGAAGTCCACACTAGTGTTGTCTTCGAGTGTTCAAAAAAAAGATGGTAAAGAATAAAATACATCTTTTTTTTCCTCAGCGACGCTCAATACATCGAGTTTAACCGATGGTTCAAGCAGGTAGCCGCACTAACCTGCAAAGGGAGATGGAAATTCTGTACCCTCGTGATGATGTTTTAACCGATTCTCTTCATTTATACGTACAAAATCTGAAGCAGTTCAAGAGGCGCTAACTATGAGCACTCTCGTAAACCCATTTAGCGTCAGTTTGTAGTGCTCGGAGTGCAGTGAACTCGTAGCGCAATTCGGCTGAATTGCATCTCCCATTTCATTGAAGTTTAGTTAGTAGAGTACATTTGAGTGTGATTCATAAGCCCCCCAGTGCCTCTGAAATCGGTGCTCGCATTTTGATTGCCTCCAACGCTGGCCTGTGATTCTTTAAGACGTCTTCTGAAGGATTCTTAATTATAGTAGCAGAAATTTGCTATTTATTCGGTCCTTTTTTATTTCCTTTCATCATCGACTGGAAAGTCCGTTGCTAGTCTCAAATCCGGATGAGAAAGGAGAGAAGATGGTGTCAACGACCTAGCAACCCTTCTGCTGTAGAAAGCCTTACTGGAAAAATTAACAGTGATATCTAGATCTGTTGAGGCGGAGGTGGTGTAGTGACAAGTGGCGCGCTCACCACTCGCGCGGTCCTGGGTTCGAATCCCAGGTCGACACCCGCCCAGGCCAACCAAGCCTTCTACCCTCCTCCGGGACGGTAAATTGGTACCAGATTCGTCTGGGAGGATAAAACACTGACTTGTACATCGGCTGGCCCCCGCAAGTCATTGTATAGGCCACATCGCATTCAATAAGCCACTACGATTCTGAATGGAAGTAGAATGCGTGCCGCATCCCACAAAGGGATTGATCAACGGCGTTGAAGTAATCCTTTTATCCTCTCATGCTCGCTATACTAGAGGTAGTAGTCA